ATTTGCACTTAACTAAAACAATGAAAAGGGTTATTGAGTACGAATTCCTTAATAAGGCCGAACTCGATTACGAAGTGAAGATTAGATGTGAGAAACCAGCTAATACTGTTTTGCATGACACTACATTTGTATATATGTTTGTATATTTGTATATTTGTATATATGTTTGTATATATGTATAATTGTTACCTGATTAATTTCTTTATCTTTATCTTCACTCAGGAGCGGATGACAACTCCTTAAATAAGCCTGAATGTTCTTTTAGTGATGTTGCTCATCTCTGGCTTTGAGCCCTACCGCTCTGGCCGTTCTTAATCTTTACTTAAGTTATAGCGACTAAAGCTTGCTTAAGATTAATTTCTTTAACTTTATCTTCACTCAGGAGCGGATGACAACTCCTTAAATAAGCCTGGATGTCCTTTCAAAATGTTTTTTTTCCACGCAGGAGCGGATGACAACTCCTTAAATAAGCCTGAATGTCCTTTCGAAAACACACTTTTAGAGTGGTAGTCATTGAATGTGAACTCCACCCTTACCTGAATGCAGATGATGAATGTAAGAGATAGTATATCTGATATTGCCTGGTGATGTCTGTTACTGCAAAGCTGTGTTTTTATGGTTTATTTTGGAATGTACATCTCAAAATTTTTGCTGAGTCAAAAATTTTCCAGGGTCGGGGGGAAAATGTAGTGTTATGCTTACATACATACTTACATATCATTTTACACTATTTTATTTTTATTTTTCCATTCTGTTTTTGATTTTCTACATTCACCTCAAAACTGGATATTTTGCATCACCTTTATTTCCATAGGATCCTGTAATATTTTTAATTCATAAGAACACAATAACAAATCATTTTCACTTCGTATTTTCACGTTATCAGCACTTTTTAAATCGGTGTCAATGGAGTCTACCTTTTTCGATCTTTTATTTAGTTCTCCGTAACTCTGCAATTTCGGGCTTCGTGCGCACTGTTGCGCTACCTTTTTTCCTATATAAATAATATCTAATTTTTCACTTAAATCTTGCCGTTTCTCTATTACGAGCCTAAAACCAAAATTTGACATGTTTTGACATCGTTGTTTATCTGGTTGTCATGGCAATTTTTATTCAAATATCGTTACCGGCCTGATGTTTTTACTTCAAAAATACTCTTTTCTTCTTGGCCATTTACAAAAATTTGCTTTTAATTTAAATAATTTCAAATAATTTCTCGTTCTTATCCCAGATCCGTCAAAAAGTATAAAAGCCGAAGAATCGGCCGATAGAGGTGCTCACTTCAGCTTTGATACGAGAAGCACCTCTTAAAGGCTTTATCCGCACTGCCTCGGGATCTTGCAAGCCTTCTCCTGAAGTCGTCGCCTAGCCACGCCTACGCCTCCACCTATTAGTGCCCGCGCTATCTTCGGCCGCTGAGCGTGCTTGTCTCAAGCGCTGCGTGTTCCTACTCCAGACGCTGCGTGTCTACTCCGGACGCTGTGTGTGTCTACTCCGGACGTTGTGTTTGCCTACTTCAAGCGCCACGTGTACCTACTCCAGACGCTGCGTGTCTACTCCGGGTGCTGCGTGTATCTGCTCCGGGCGTTGCGTGTGCCTACTCCAAGCGCTGCGTGTACCTTCTCCAGACGCTGCATGTGCTTTCTCCAGATTCTGCGTGTACCTAGAGCAGGCGCTGTGCACCTATCATAGGCATAGCCTGTGCATACTTCGTTGCAGTATCTTTATTTTTGTTATTTTTTTTAATAATATTGTAAATCACTATCATCATTACAGCCCATCATCACCTTCATACCTTTTTTTATAAAAGAAACTGTAAATCTTTTCAAATTTTTAAATAATTTATTTTATTTTTGGTTGTTTTGTTGTAGTTAGGTTAGGTTATTTAGTTTTTAATTGTCGCTTTACGACAAGTCTTAACTGATTTTCATACGACCCGGGATTCGAACCCAGGACCTCATGATCAGCAACCACGATTACGTTCACTACACCAACGAGCCAGTCGATGATAGACTAAGTATAAAGGATTGATCTCAAAACTAATTTCTACTTATTTTATCGCTCAACATGACAACCCTATTCTACACTGGCCTCTTACAGCTGAAGTTAATACGATTTGTAATATTAATACAAATTGCACAACACATGAGTAATTAATAGTAGTTATGTCATAAGGTCGGCCTTATCGCACCACGCCCCGCGTAGGACTCAGCTGTTCCTTATCGCATCTTGTGATGTTATTGTGTTTATTATTTCATTAGGTCAGCCTAATACCCTATATCCCTCTAACAGCGACTGTTATGACGTAAATGGGTCTTTGTTTTTGTTTTTATCTAACTTCAAAATAAGGAGTAGGCTTACAATTCGATTATGTTTGTTTGTTACGCGATATATTTGTCTGATTTTTTATAGAATAAGAGTGACAAACGAGTACACAGTCCGCCTGATGGTAAGTGGATGCTGTGGTCCACAGACGTATACATCTGTGGACTATCCTCGATTAAGGATCAAAATGCGGATGCGTTGTCACCCCTGAGAACTAAGATGGAAAGTCTCTAGGTTCTCTATACTCATTATAGGAAACACAACAGCATTAAGCTGCTATATTACGCTGGTATTCTGTGAGTGCGTGCTCCTTCCCCGGTCAAGCCGGCCCATTCGTGATAATACCATAATATAGCTTCAACTTGGCTTCACCACGTAAAATTGTGAAAGAATATAGGTACTAAGGGGTTGTTCTACATAAATTTGGAGAAAATATTCTAACCTCTTTTTATGTGGTAGGGCCATGCTGCAGCTATATTATGGTACGAATGGGTCGGCCCAACCTGGGTATGACCACGATCTCACAGAATATCAGCGTAAAATAACAGCTTAATACTGCTGTGTTTCGTATGGTGAGTGTAGAGAACTGAAAACCCTTTTTACTGGAAACGAGGCATTCCAAAACCATCCAGAGACCCACTCAAAGGCACACAAAAATTTTAACAAATTCGGTCATTTTCAAGTTTTGGCAAGACTAAATGACAGAGATTATAATATATATATATCATTTTAGTATCATTTTATATTATCCACATCAAATGACCATCTTATCCAGATAAACTCAGATCAGGTTCAGATTATTGCTAAATTTGTGGTACGCAGAACAGTGATGGGAGAACCGCTGGAGGTATCACACAGCAGATATATCTGTTAAGATTTGTTCTGAAATAGCAGTGTCAAGCGGGAAATTTAAAGCGTGACAACTTTGACGAAATCCATTTCGCTGAGTCGCCACACCACTGATATGATAATAAAGCATGATAATAAAGCACTGGCTTTGAAAGTTTAAAAGATGATAACCTTATCTGGAAATCTATGGGGGAAGCCTAAGTCCATCAGTGGAATTTTGAAAGACTGTAATCAATGAACAATTTTTTCTGGTCTAGCAGTTTGTCGATTTACAAATTAATGTTTGTGTAACGCTTCCACGATATAGAAAAAAAATTTTTTTATATGAGTTATGTCAAAACAGATATTCAAGAAAAAATTATATCTATAATGTAATCAACAGATTAAATAATGACATAATTTTTATTGTTTTATGAATTATTCTGAAGGTTCTGTTGTCTAATCTGCATTAGGAGTAGTTCGCGGTCAATTTTTGCTTTTGGGTACCAACTACGGAACGTTATGCGATACGATATTAACTACGTAAGAGTGGTGGTAGCTCAGATGGATAGCGCTCGCTGTAAATTTGACCGCCAGCAAAACAGAAATAGTAATAATATTGTGTTATTATTACGATTTCTGTGGTCAGCACCAATTAAATTGTTAACTACAACTATGAGTGCTGATTTCTTACGTGCTCAGTGGTGAAAGGAAACACCGTGAGGAAAACTGCATGTATGAGAAATAATAAAACAATGATTTTCCAAAGACATGTAAAGTTCGGCAACTTTTCCTTACCCTAAACCCCCCTGAGAACTAAGATGAAAGGAAAACACACAATTTCACAAATGAAAGGAGGTCTGTGCCCAGCAGTGCGACGTAGATTGGCTGTAACTTAACTTTAATTTAACTTAAGAATAAGAAAAAACATTTTCGCAGGCAGCGCGGCGGACACTTCCTTGTCCTAAAACCTTAGAAATGAGGGGAGGCTTGTGCCCAGCAGTGGGACGTATATAGGCTCTAATTTAAGAATGTTAACATTGAAAATGTACATTTTACGTTAGAACCTATAAAAGTTTACTGCTGTGTTTAAGCCTATCCCACAGATATAAACGTAGGTGAGAAAAAAGTTTTTACTATAGTTTTTTGTATAAATCACGTTTATATTCCCATATAATATAAGAAAATACGAATTAAGTAAAATATGAAACTTAATAGATAGCCGCAACGGCTTTTACTGTTGAAGGACTATCGTGAAATTTTGTTCTACTGGGACCGGGCCATCATCATAGACAAGACTATTCTTGCGGATAAGCCTGGTGTTGTGCTGATGGACCGGGCACAGTCAAGGATAGTTTTGGTTGACATTACCATTCCGTATGACGAGAATCTCGTGAAAGCTGAAACAGATAAGCGAACAAAATATCTCGACCTGGCTCATGAGGTGAACGACATGTGGGGTGGTCTGCCGACCGAAATTGTTCCTGTAGTTGTTTTTGCGATCAGGCTGATCCCGGTCAGCCTCCTCTCCGGATTTTATTGAAGTCACTGGGACTCCGTGACGGACCGCCCCGGGCTCAAATACAGAAGACGGTGCTCCTTGATACCGCCAGCATCGTCCGCCGATTTTTCTGCCATTTTGTCTACCCTACCGAGGGATGTCATCTGGTTGGGTTTTTATTTAATTGTGTAATTTTTATTCACTTTACTGATATTTATGGCTGTATATTTTATCAGTTTCGTTTATATATTTATACAACCCAACCAGATGAGAAAAGATAAGGTGTACAGTATTTTATACCTGAATATACCGAACGTATAAAAATAAATATTGAAAATACACACACCAGTCAACATCATTGCTTCATCCAATGTTGCAGTCAATCCGGCTGTAGCCCCTATCTCAATTTTTCGATTTGCCGCCATTTTGATTTCTGCAAATAGAAATAAAAAATAATTAACACGAAAAGATCACTTTTTATTTCTACTCAAAAATGTTACGATACTCATACTAGAATTTTCTCACGTGTGGTAGAATCATTTTGTATATGTTGCAGCTAATAGTCGAAGTGCGGATACACCTAGCTTTAGCTGGTTACAACTAGATGAAACCGAATGCGGTTGGTTAAATTTAGGCGCCATTATCATTATCATGATTGTCATCATTACAGCCCTTCACAAGTTTACGCCCCTTCCAGTGTATGCCCCAAAGCGCGGGTCTGACCGAACTGCATTAATCGTCAAATTTAAGCGTATCCTATATAATTTATATTTAAGATAAGTGTTCGCGGCCACTCCGCACTTTAACTTAATATCGCTAATATTACTTTCTTTTCTGTTTCTCTTTTACTAGGATGTTCCTCCTGTATCGTGGACTTTACGTACCTACATAAATGTCACAAGGACAAACATTATGTCTAGGTTATACAAATACTTGTTCCATGCGGGATTTGAACCCGCGGCCCTCAGCTCTGGAACATATTGTTAAGCTACTGCGCCACGGAGCCGTCGAACTTGATATGAGCTTTCGTATTTTTCACAAATTTAGCAGTGCACTTAAATTTAACCAACCGCAGCCATATGCACAGTTCAGATTTATCTTTGAATAAAATTATTTATTTAGAAATAAATAGTGAAATTATTAAATTACAGATAACTTAGGTACAATCTATTAGTATGCGTGACGGCTAAAAGCTAAAGTGCCGTTGTATTTAAGTTTAGCCGACTAGAACTATATGTGCAGTTGATTGCGGTTGGTCAAAGTTATGGGTATACGATTTATACGTGGTATAGCCACGCTGCAACTATATTATGTTTGTAGCATGAATGGGTCGGCTCAATCGGGGAAGCACCACGCTCCCATAGAATATCAGCGTAAAATAGAAGATTAATGCTGCTGTATTTTGTATGATGAATGTAGAGAACCGGGGACCCGTTTTACTGGAGTAAAGGTGTTCTATATTAGTCCTCAGGGGTGACAACGCATCTGCATTTTGATTCTTAATCAAGGTTAAATGCAGATGTCTATGAGCCATAGAATCCACTTAGCATCAGGTGAACTGTGTGCTCGTTTGTCACCATTATTCTATAAAAAAATCGTGACTAAAACTAAGTGTAACCTTACTTTTGGGTAAAACTGGGTAGTGTTGACACACTGATGCCACCTTCATAATATACAATGGAATTCTACCGTAGATTTGATCACTTTTGTCGAACTTTACGAATCTCTTTGCAAGTTTGAAAATTTTAAATATTTAAAAAAAAAGGCGACGGAATTAAGCGTGTCGAAACATTATAAAAAAGAAATGGGAAAAAGACCACCGAAAAGGAAACAAATTTCAAATATCCGATGAAGAAAGGAGAATAACTGCGAGTGATATTTCGAGTGTTGACATAATTCTCATTCTCATTGATAGACTCGTATCGGAATTAGAAAAACTGCAGGAGGCCTACAGCAAATTCAGAGAGAAAAAGCCCTTTTCTTAGAATAAATGTATCCTTATAATTTAGAGACTGATTAAGTATAGCAATGCATATATTTTGAATGCCACCACCAGAAGAATTTTAGTAAAACCTGATTCTGGACCATTGAAAAGTCTCCGTTCTTGCGAAAACGGTATTTGCAAAACGTTTATAAACTTGGATACAACAGTTCGCATGGCTTTATGTACACCAGCGACAAATTGTTCGTGTGAGAGAAGCTTTTTTTGCTTAAAACGGTTGAAAAATTGTCTAAGATCATTATCATGATGATGATCATAAGACATAAGCCAAAAAAAACTAACCTTGACAATTTTGTGCATAGAGTCAGCTACGACGATATAAAATTGATGATTTTGCGAATAAAAATTGCGTAAAACAGTATTACAGAACTTTCCCAATTTAATTTATTAAATTTCATGATCAGCCGGATTGTTACCAGATAATTGAATACATTGTTTTTAAACTGTAAGCGCAATAAAAATTATTGTTACGCGCTCAACGTCATACACTAGCGCCATCTAGTGTCAGGAACGAGAGCGAGGGGAGCTTTGCAGAAAATGACATCACAAATCTTTACCGCCAGCGCCATCCGAAGAACTAAGTTTCTAGAAAATCTACACTCGAACACTCGTCGCTTTGCGCGCATTTACTTGAATATTCCGGATGCTTCATTGCTAATTTGTATATATAGGCGCTGCAAGATGCGATCGGGGCTGTGTTGATTTGGCGAGACAAGCGAAGCTTCGGAGCGAAATAAAGTGAATTAGTGTGTTTAATTATTAGTGTTTTAAGTTTTAAATTGTGTAAAGTAAATTAAAGTGTTAATTTAGGTAATTATATCGGCAATTTTTATTGTCACGAACCTCAAGCTCGTAACAATTGGTGTCAGAATTGGGATAAAATCATGCCGATTTTACCTAAGGAGGAAACGGAGGGTGTCCGTACCCGAAGTCAACGCCAGCAGGAGACGGACCAACGAAGATTTGGTGGTGCAACGCCGCAGACGTCGGAGGGCCAGCCACCGGCTGCAGGCCCGTCGGTAGCTCCTACATCTGCAGCACCTGACTTAGGTGCTCTGATGGTGATGCTGCAGGAGCAGGCTCATCGACAGGTGGAGCAGGCTCGCCGACAGGAGGAACAGGTCCGTCGGTTGGAAGAGCAGCTGCGGGGTGGACAGGATGAACAGGTCCGCCGACAGGAGGAACAGGTCCGCCGACAGGAGGAACAGGTCCGCCGACAGGAGGAACAGGTCCGCCGACAGGAGGAACAGGCCCGCCGGCAGGAGGAATAGGCCCGTCGTTTAGAAGATCAACTCCAACGCGATAAGGAAGAGCAGATGCTCCTCATGAAGGACCTTCACGCTATCTTCGGAAAAGAGGTACGGGAAGTGAAGGATAAGGTTGCTCAACATGACAACCGCCTGTTGGAGGCCGAAACCCGAATCGACCAAGTAAACAATCGGGTTGACAATGTAATAGCTGACGTGAAGAAAACGCTGGACGACCTCAAACTTGGAGATGGAGCTACAGCTCCCGTAGTAGCTACAACACCTTCGCTACGTGGGTTCAAGGTGCCACCGTTCGACGGTACCTCTTCCTGGTCAGCCTACAAAATCCAGTTCCAGGCTGTTATGAAGGCGAACGGCTGGAATAAAAGTCAGGCCATGACTGCTCTCACACTAGGCCTGCGCGACCAGGCCTTAACAGTTCTGGAAGCTCTCGGTGAGGAAGTGATTTATGAGCAACTCCTTGAGGCGTTGGAGGCGAGATATGGTGACGCTCACCTGGAACACGTCTTTCGTGCGCAGCTTAAAGATCGCGTGCAGTGCATCAACGAAAACCTGCAGGAGTGGGCTCTAGAGGTGGAGAAGCTGGTACTAAAAGCATACCGGTCTGTACCTGCGCTCATTGAAGGGAACCTTACGCGCTCAACGTCATATACTAGCGCCATCTAGTGTCAGGAACGAGAACGAGGGGAGTTTTGCAGAAAATGACATCACAAATCTTTACCGCCAGCGCCATCCGAAGAACTAAGTTTCTAGAAAATCTACACTCGAACATTCGTCGCTTTGCGCGCATTTACTTGAATATTCCGGATGCTTCATTGCTAATTTGTATACATAGGCGCTGCAAGATGCGATCGGGGCTGTGTTGATTTGGCGAGACAAGCGAAGCTTCGGAGCGAAATAAAGTGAATTAGTGTGTTTAATTATTAGTGTTTTAAGTTTCAATTTGTGTAAAGTAAATTAAAGTGTTAATTTAGGTAATTATATCGGCAATTTTTATTGTCACGAACCTCAAGCTCGTAACATTATTTAATTACATTTACCGAATGTAAGTCGTAACAATGAAGTCACAACTCACCCCGCCTAGTAGTACACGATTGAGTTTTATTAGCTCAGAAATATAACCAGAAAATATTTCTTGTTGGGTTGTAAAAATATTCAAGTAACTGACACATCGATCTCTTACTTCACAATCGTACAAATTACGGCAAAGAGGTGTTGTAATTAGGACGATAGTGCACTAATCATAAAGTTACAATTTGACTGACAAAAATGTTATAAATATGATTGTGAACTAGTGTATCGAATTGTAGGAGTTGGTAGGGGCGGCAAAATTTGAATAGCCTATTGGTGGCAAATGTGTGAATCCGCTACTGATAAGGATATATTATTTACATACTATTGACGCACATATATCCTTATCAATTTTTTTTAATAATACTAGTACTGTCTTCTAAATGTTACGAGTTTAGTGTTAGTGACAATATAAACTGCCTATTGAATAACCAAAATTGACACTTTAATTACCGCACACAAATTAAAACTTAAAACACACTAATAATTAGTCACACTTATCACTTTAGTTCACTTTATTTCGCTCCGAAGCTTCGCTTGTATCGCCAATATAGGCCTTTTCCACCGAAACATCTAGAATGTTCCAGCAAATACCGGTCCCGACCGACTAGTTGTAGAAAGTTTAAGGGTGTAGTTTTCTAGAAAGATTAGTTCTTCTATTCGTTACTAGATGGCACCAGTGACAGAGTTCTAGAAAAATCTTGACGCTCCTAATTATGCTTCTTGATACTAGATGGCGCTAATAATCACCCACGCATAAATTATGGCGCGCAACATAAATAATATTACCGTGTAGTGGTGCTGTAAAAATATTCACTAACTAATAAAAAGAAATTCATTTTCAGTTTTATCAATTTTCATTTTCAGTGAACTTTCTTCTAGGCCCTAGAAGAAAGTTCATCGCTTAACTGACGAGCATGTGTGCGTATGACGTAAAGGAAGCGAGAAAGGTGTGTCAGGGTCGTGCCAAATAGAAGTCCTTAGCCTCTGCCTATCCCTCTGGGTGACAAGCATGAGTGTTTATGACCTATGTATTATGTGTTTGTTTAATATTGTACATTGTTTTCAGTAGTGATAAGGCCCTGAATAACG